GAGTTCAGTCGCAACTGGAAGGTATTCGTACTGCTATTGCACATTTGCACACCGCAGCGGAGGATATAAGCTCGATAGAGACTGGGTATGGAGTAGATGACGACATTCACATTTCTACACATACATTTCTCACTTTTTGAATAAGTATAACAAAAAGTTATAAATTGATGTTGTACAGCATAGCAGCTATTCGCCATCGTCTGACTCCGTTTCCTCAGTTGCGAGAGAAAATGCGTGAATTGCGAGACGCCAATGCACGTCACGGTGTGTTAAGTGTCATGTTCATCCACCTAGTTTTGATTTTACTCATACCTAAACTTTCTTATCTGACTGTGTATACTGTAGTGCCTGTCACAGCCATAGGTTTGAAAATTGAGGGGGAATGAAGAAGACGAAGAAAATCTAAGTTGAACTCTCGTCCAAGGGGTTTGAGTGGTAGATAGAGTATTTACAAGGGTTATATACCTTTTTCAATCACTGCACTTTCTGTACTCTCGATATCTTTACGATATTATTCATGGGAGCAAGGTCCCCTTCAGTAAAATACTTCGAGAGAAAATAAACTTCTAGAAGTAAAGTAAGCAGCTCAACTCTTAGAAATTAGCAATGCTATTACCGTGTGGTTCAGGTCAATATGCGGCGGCTATGGAGAACCTCAAACACATTTTCAACATCACGAAAACAATCCAGGATACTAAAGTGGCTCTAGATCAAGGAAAATTGCTAGTAGCCCACAAAAAGTTAGTCGATTTCATTTACTTTCCAGATTATATTTGAGCTGCTAAGATTTGGCCTTACGAAATTTCAGCATAATGGACCTGGAGCTAGCTAGAGACGAACTGCTATTCGAGGTCCACAAATCTGATTCTCCAAACAAGGATTATGAGAAAAATGTAGGTTACGTATTTCCTAACTGAGGGGTATATTTTACTTGTTATATGCTTTCGCGCATTTTTCAAGCTTCTCGTGACTTTCTTCATAAAAGTGGATGAATTGGTAACTGATCTGAGTAGCAATATGTGGTTTGTAATTGGACGTGCACTGGAAATGGTCAAGGGCAGCGAAAGCGGTAGCGGTCCTCAGGAACTGGTCTCATGTATCCGTATCGTTGAACGCGAAGAACGGTAGCTTTGGCGATGTTTTCGTATCCTTGGATTGTACGATTTGAAAGATTTTTTTTTTTCAGAATCGACAATTACTACTTGGATAAAAAGGCTCGCGGCAGTGCTTTTATGCCGCCAGGACGGCCTCGTCAGTGGCGTAAAAAGGCCTTTGAAGTGAGTGTTGATTGAATCGTGTTTTTGTTTTCGTTTTTTTTTTCATTCTTAAGAGGATAACGTTTTGATCTTTGTGACTTCTGTTATTCTATGATTTTTTTTATTTTAATAAACTATGCTTTAAGGTAGTCATTTTGTTGATATCTGCTTCTANCCAGGTGCTCGAGAAAACTGTGTGGAGTCGTGTCGAAGGAAATCAGTTGGAAGATCGAAGTTTGAATAAAGCTTGGTTAGCCAGGTTCGTGACTTCGGATTACTGACCGGATCTTACCAATGTTTCTCATATATGAAGTCATTTAAGCCAGGTTGAACGTTTGTAGATACCTGGAAGTGTGTCGAAAAGTGATTGTAGACGACCTACAACTGGCGCGTGCTGCTGTTCCGTGCTTTCCACCCGACTATCAGATCTACGATAGATTTGTCCACATGTACCATAACTGCGTGTGTAAAAGGGTGAGTGCGTTACGCTATGGACAACTCTGCGCAGATCTATGAGAAGCGTGCTTGAGCTCGCTATTTCACCACCCATTTCTTGTGCTTCTCATAATTTGAATTTCTTTTCAGCTACGTGAAATAGCGGCAGAACAGATGGAGAAAAGTGAGCTTGTCCAGTTACTGAGTTGGATTCAAACTTATGGGTAAGTTTCATTTTTCGAGGTGCGATGCTGTCTGCTGTACCCTGGGCTACCCTCGAAACCCAAGTGATAATTTTTTTTTACCGTCAAATCTCTTGCCATCACTCTTACCATAACTCTTATGAATATTTGTAGGTTCAGTTTGTGCTGATTTCGACATCCATTTTAGTGGCGAAGAACTGCTTGGCAACCGCCGTCTCCAGATCAACACTGCTGCCTTGTTAGATGATGTTCCTGTGCTGTCCAGATCAACTCTTAACTCGCTCTATGACAGGTAAGTCTTGGAACTTCATTTTTGCAACCTTGATGCTCTCACTGGTAAATAATGTTTCGTCCTGATTAACCTGCTTAACTATATTACTATTTCCAGTTTCGTAGAGATGACGAGGCGTGATATGAAGAATTGGCTCGATAAAACTTTGAGTGCCGAGAAGGATGTATGTCCATCACATACCGGGGATGGTGCACAGCCGTTCTATTTGATGCTGTAATTTTATAGGATTGGAACAAGCACGTACGACCTGACGAGGACAACTTTGGATATTTCTACACGAGTCTTCCAAATATCATGTTCGGAATGCTGAGGGATACGGTATTGATAACCTTACTAAATCTATTATATTATACACTGACACAATGCACAGACAGCTGCCTATTTGTTAATGAATAAAATTCATTCCAAGCTATTAGGTGGAAAGGATGGAGGGAACAATTGAAATAGACTACGACCATGCTTGTAGGTGACGCTTGCGAAAGAAGTTAGTGTTGAAGTGATTCCGAGCGTCATCAACCTTACAATTGAGGAATTCTTCATTTTCGCCAATAAATATAAAGGTCAGACTTGCCCTCTCTTACAGTATACCTCCTTGGATTTTTATATAGAATTGAGTGTGTTACAGATGCTTTCACTGCTTATCGGAACAAGTATTTTGAAAATCGTAGCACTTTCCGAGAATTCACATCTACTATGGTAAGTATATACTGATCGTGTTCTCTCCCATGATATCATTGAATTTGATGTCTTAAGGTTGCGATCGCCAACAATTTACAGACGTGTATCGAGTCCACTGATAAGTACATGCAACAGGTCAGTGCGACATGGTGATTCAGTGGAACTGATAATTTACTTCACTTCAATTCGTCTATTTTAGGTTCGTTTATCGATGGAGAGCGATGAGCAGCAAGATGGTGGAGTTGCTGGCCGCCGCGCAGTTAGTCGTCAGCAGATCATTGACAATATCGACCGATTGAACGCTAGATGGAGTAGTGCAGTAGGAGTAGCGTAAGTAGTCGTTACTAAGATATCCTTCTGAAACATGAACGTAATGGATGCCTTTCAGTGTGAACTACTTGCTAGAGGAGATATGTGAAGATTTGAGTCCCCACCTTGCGGAGTTATTCTCCAGGAAGTGGTCAGTGAAGTTGTTCAAGGATTAGCCAAAGAGAATTATGTTGTCTCTGTGATTTCTACAGATTAGTTGCTCTAATGGTCATCGCTTTATCCAGGATTGTTGGATGTTCTGCACCTGAGACTATATGTATGACCGTGCAAGACTACTATGCTGACCATCGCCATCTGCGTCCTGCCACCCGCTGTGCATTATTAATGGATCTGCAGTTTCGAATTGTTGGAGAGTATCTGAAGGCAATAGACTCTCGGTGAGGCAATATTTTTGTTCTGACAATATGTTCAGAGAAGCTTTTTTTTCGATGATTCAACGGTTGTGTTCTCAGTGCTTCAACCTCCAAGCCAAAAAGGTGTGATTTGAATAGAAATTGTCCGTTCAGTGACATGGAACATGTAGTTCACAAGTAGTTTGATTGAAGTGGGCCCAGAATTTGAGTTCTAACTTTTCCAGGCCCTCATTGAGCAGAATCGCTTGACCTAACTACTGCCTCGTTTCTACTTATCATATTGAATTATGTTGGTCATAATTACAGCCGTCTAACGTTCGCCACCTATGAAGAAAGAGCTGCGGCGGGATCGCGGATGAAAGCGGATGCACAACGGCTAGAAGCGTTGTTCAAGCAACTTATTGACACTGATGACATCAATGAGCCGGTAAGTAGTGGCAATACCGCCCTCTTCGTAGGACTTGTACCCATACCAATGTGAAAAGGTCACCTTATCTTTATAATTCCTTATCTCGCCTTCAAACCGTGATGAACTTTCTGTGGGAGAAACAGCAACATATGGCGGATCACAGCTTCTGTTTTCGAGATTTTCTCTAGGTCAGAGGACGTCGTCTAAGCACCACCTCTTCTCCCCTGTAGCACACAAGTAAAACAAAGTTACATTGGAGAAAAAAGAAAATCTTCACCCGTGCATGTCCTCTCAGTTCCTTTTCCTGGACGGTAGTGCTTATTTTTATGTCGTTGGGCCATTATCTGAAATTCTTAGAAATTGAATGCTGCTGATATTTTTTATACAAGTAAGAAAATGAAACATTGAATGTGTTCTGAGTAAGTAAAAATTCCAAGTTTATCATTTTCAATGAAAAAAAAGTTGACCAATCCTACGATTTCAGTTTTCGCTTATTTGTTCGTTAATATCGAGTTGCGGCGAAGTGATCAGCCTACGTGACAAATCTCTTCTAACATTGGAAGTGACTACGTTCAGCAGGAAGTATCCGAAC